TGAAAATGGGTTTTTTGAGATGCTAGTTTTAATCACGAAGAAAAACTACATCAGACTTGTGAATATGAGCTTGATCTGAGAGGGGGCCGATTTTGCCTCTTATCGACCCCCGTCCTTTGTATGAATAATCTTCAGTTCTGATTACAAAAGTACAAAGTACAAAGTAACAAAAAATGAAGTGTTTATCTTTCTCTTCTAATTACATTTCGAATGGCATTTCAGTGACTGTGATGAGAGGTAGTAGGAGGCAACTCTAACACAAACGTTGATCTGAACTCGACCTCTGTAAGACTCCGATCCGTTTCTTGGCAATGCTTGTGCACGCTTCTGGACTGTAGTGCAGGTATATGAAAAGCTGGTAATGATATCAGGAAACAACTAAAAAACTTGTGTTTGTATTTTCAATGTAAGTAGTCTTTGACTCCATTTGCTTTTCAGGTATAAAATAAAAGAATGGAATCGGGAAGGTTGAACCATCCTTTTCCGCCGACAGCAATGATTATGTCACCGATGCGAATGGTACATCAAAAGATGTTTTCACAGCCACCAGCACCATGTGGATTTGGTAAGTCAGCCCTCGCACTTGTCCGTATTACGAGGTTAAATGTTTGTAACAAAGCTCATTTCTAAACGTTTTTTCGTACTTTAAGCTCCGCATGGACCGCCTTATGATCACAGCAGTGTATCAGAAGAATCGAAATCGGAACAGCCAGATGAATCTAGTAGCACAGTCGAAGTAAGAGGCATTTTTGACGGAGAGATTGACAGAAGGAAAGAAAATGTTCAGTGCAAGCAGGAAAAAATAAAGCAGTCGTGTAAAACTGTGAGAGGCAGATGTTTGTCAGGCTAAGCGACTGTTTGAAAAACTGTTAACATCGACTCGACACTTCAGAAAAAAACTTTTAAAGTCATTTTTTGAGAATTTTTTTAGGCACACGATTATTTTCTTTCTTATACTGGCTATTCAATCTCAGTAGGAACGTTTTATTTAGAGCACGAGAATATCTGAGTGTCATAGCAGTTGCGACTCGGATTTTGGAAACCCCTATTTCAATATAACTCCGATTCGAGCATTCCGGATTTGAGGGATCATTACTTTTCCCAGCAGAGTCTCCCGAAAGCCCACTGTACTCGTATTACGGTAGAACTCCCTGAAAGACGTTTGATACTAACAGACCAGGTAATCTCTCTTTAGTTTCGTGGCACCAACACGGAAATAAGGGGTAATTGAATTACAACGAAAATGAAAAATTCACTCAATAAGTATGCACAAAAAAATGGGGTTCTCGTTAAACGCTGAAGCATTGCGCCTTTTAAGAGTTTAGTTCAGCCTCAGAACTTTGCATCGTAGTCCCACCAATGCTGTCGCCACATTTCATTTTTTTACTGACCTTTTTTCGTGTATGAAACCACGTAGGTACCGCGTCTTGTAGAGCTTTCTGAACTGATCAATGTGTCGAGTCTAAAGGCGGGTTAGTGAATTTTGCATACAAAAACTCCGAAAGAAAAAGTAATTCTAAGTAAGTTTGAAGAAACCGAGAATGTAATTGGGGAAAAAAACGTCATCTATATTTTGCGGGTCAAAAAGATCAAATTCTTTAAAAAAATTTGATCCAATATCAGGAATTACACTGAATCGTTTTGTAAGACAAAAAACTAAATCTCAACAATTATATAGCAAAATTTACTTCTATCATTGCATACAGTTCCAAGAAAAAGAACAAAAAATGCTGAAATAAACTTTTTCGGATTACTATTCCAAGGATACCAAAGTTTTACCTGCATTCAGTTGTTTTTAGTGAAACAAAAAAAAACAGTTTATACAAACGGAACTCGAGCCAAAGACTATGCACGTGTAGAAATTCATTTTATGGATAAGTATTGAGACTTAGGTAGGCAATGGATATAAACCTTAAAAATTTTCAAGACAGTTCTCTCACTATAGTACTTACACCTTGAGCTTGACCATTCTCTGAAAAATCTAAAGCTTAAAAGTGTGTGATTCTTTCCTGTTCTTTGAGTACGGCAAACTTACATCGGGAGGAGGTTAATCTGAAAATTTTTCCAAAAAATGGTTGTTTGTTTTAGTTTTAGAGACTAGAAAACTTTCTGAATTTCTTTTTCGGTTTTTAAAACATGTAACTTTGACTTTTTCTTCTCTGTCTAGGACGCTATTGAACAATGTCGGTGGCGTGAATGTAGACCAGCGAAACGGCTCAAAAAATTTGGACTAGCACTACCTTTGACGGGCCAAAAATGAAAATTATCGCTAAAAAAAGGTTGACACCTTCTCTTTTGAGAAAAATATTTCTTTTCTTATACCAAAAAAGTCTTTTTTGACCAAAATTCCGGATGACTTTTTTTTTTAAATTCCTTTTATTTTAGCATTTACCCTTCTCGGCCGACCCTCTTCGCACCGCCACTGGTAAAACGTTAAAGCAGAAATAATCCTTGTTTCTACATCGCCTATTGATCGGCTATAAAAACATTTCTCACAATAAGAATGAGGAACCTTTATTTTCTCATAATGATGCTCGGCACTCTTAGTTAAACATAGGACATAGCACGGCGTTTTTTTGAGTTTTCTCGCGTTAATTTGAATCACGAGCCTCCACAAAAATTTCCTCGAGCAGAGTCATGACTAGAGATATTAGCCGATGTATAAGCAAGCACTCGTGGCCAGAAAGCTATTGAGCATCGGCGGCAGCGTATGACTCATCAAAAAATTTTTGCCTTCGGCAGCGGTGGTGGCGCGTCAGTCGTCTGTTTTTTCCGAAAAAGCCTGAAATTTTTTCGTCTCGGGAGCGGCGGCGGCGGCGAAAACTCTCAAAAATTTTTTCCTTCTTCGACGGTAGCGGTGTAATATTTTGGGTACTTCGACAGCGGCGTGGCGGATCGGCTAACATCCCTAGTCATGACTCATATTTTTCTGATCATTTCAACTATGTCATGGTAGAGTAGAGTAGGTCATCTTGACTGCAGTCGTCGAGCTGTGACGCCGGGGAGGAAAATGAGAGAAGACTGATATTTCTGAAGCCATTTGAACTGGAAACTTAGCCTCGAACAACTGATTGTCCACTTCTCCAAAAATTGGAAAGGAAGCTAAGGACATATTAAGAGTGTACTTTTTGAGCTTATGTTGATAAATGTAGGTGCTTGGCATTGACTTTAGTTCACCTCGGCAAATATCCAGCAAATTCCAGTGAATTTCGTGGATCAAAAGCTCATAAATAAAAAGGTGAAAAACCACCCTGTCAAGAAGTTTTTGAAGTCTTTTGATTCTTTTCTCCTCTAAAAGTTACTACTTTCCTACTTTTGACCCGATATTTTGTATTAGTTAGAATCAAATTTTGCGTGTGTCGATATCCTAAATTGGAGTAAAAATAATTTTTCAGCCTCAGGTCTCGAATTTCTTGAAAATAATGAAAGTGAGATTGTCGGGAAGATGTAGCAGCAGGAATACTAAAAAAAATTGATAATGACTTCAAACATGTAACTTTTATGACAAAAAAATTTAGGTACCGCGTTAATAGCCCCCGTCCTTTACTGTGTCGCTACCGAAGCCGTTTTTGGAGGAAAAAATTTGCTATAGTCCGGAAAAAAAAGAAACTCACCTCTTTGGCAAAAACAAAAAATGTCATCGGTCTTTTTCATGATAAAAAAGTTTCCCAACACGATTTGTTTTGGGGTCATAAGTTACACTACCTCCGAGAGAAACTGTTATCATCCCCCTGCTCTCAAGCCTGCGGTCGCCTCTGATGATTGGTTTTTGATCATCTTTCAAAAAAATATTGTCAATATAACCTTTTGCGTTTCTTGTTTCCCGTACTTTTTGTCCTTCTGATACTTCTTATTGAGTTAGTAATATATTTTTGATTCATTCATATCGATAACATGCATTAAACGAAGTGTGCCTAAAGCATATATTTTCTTTTCTTTTTTCTTTCCTGTCCTGTCGCTCTTTCTGCATTTATTTCCAACGACAAGTAAGTTATCTGATTCAGCTGACTCAAAGAAAAAAATGAATGGACACATTGACACAAACGGCCACACCGAAATAAACGGTCGCAGTGAGACAAACGGACACTGTTCAAATGGTGAAGAAAATATTTCTGAATCGTCTGGAGTTGCTAATTCAAAGAAGATTGATGAACGTGATCAGCCTACACCAGATAATTGGATTGAAAGAGATGAGTCAATGGTCCGTCTCACTGGAAATCATCCGTTCAATAGTGAAGCACCACTCTCAAAATTAGTTCAATGTGGATTTATAACTCCGGCAAGATTACATTTTGTTCGAAATCATGGATATGTACCGAAAATTGAACGGAATGAGCATAGAATTGAAATTACAGGGTGAGAAGTTGTAAACATACTTAAAAAGAATGTTGATGCATGTTGTAAGCTCAACTTTCCTTTCAAAGAGGCAATAATAGATTTTTAGTTAGCATCTGAGCTTCATGCTAACGAGGGAAGATATATTTGGGCTACCTCTAGCGTTTTTTGCCTCATTCATAGGGCATATAAAGATAGAGGTAGGAAAAACATAAAGGAATAGCATTCTCCTTGTTGCTTCTTTGAAAAGTTAGACACCCCAGTTTTTCGAGTTTTGCAAAAAAAACACGGCAAAAATTTTGGAAAAAATCGATGACTCTATCAGCTTATCATGGATCGCTTGAATTTGCCGTGAAACTCGGCAGTCGATGACTGCTTCCTACCCTGAAACTTTCGGTTCATTAGCTCTTTTGTCCCCTTCAGTTAAAGATAATTCAAACTTCCTCGGGTGTAGAGCTCAAAACTGGACAACTTCCGGAAGTCTCACTAGAAAAGGTTCCGACATTCAGAGCCGAAGTAGTGTCTGATTCAAAAAAACGTGATTTCAGCATCAAAATAAAAATTCAGTTTTTTAGAAACACTTCCAAAAATCGGAGATTTTTTTAATGCAAATTCTATTTTGGTTCGGACAGCGAAACGATATTTTTTGATCAAAGTAACCTCGATTCTTTAACCTCAGCATTTTCTAAAGAGATCTACGGAAGCTGTATAGTTTTGAGTGGTGCGACTGCGCAAGACTGTAACCTGACGACAACTGAATTTTTTTTTATATCAAGGGGAAGGGAGCTAATGAAATGAAAGTTTCGAGTAAGAAAGCAGTTACTAACTGCCGGGTTTCCAAAAAATTTCAAGAGGTTGTGAAATAAGCTGACAGAGTTAGGAATATTTTCCAAAATTTTCGGGTTTCTTCGCTTGGAAAGCTGAAAAAACGCCAGTAACTTTTGAAGGAAACAAGAAGCACCACTATTTTTTACACTTTTTTCATCACTTCAGCTGCCCGATTAAAAGGCGTATCAACGAGGGAAGACTAGAATACGATTGGATATGTTCCCATGTAAGCAAAGTCACTGACTTTCCCCCACTACACAGAAGCTTTGATTAGTCTCTAATTTTTGATTTCCTAATCGTTTTTGCAGCGAATCACAAATTTCTCTCAAATGAGCCATCTTTCGGTTCTTTCTGTCGTCAGATTAAAAAGACGCTCCTTTTTTTCCATCGAACCCTTTGTTCTCCAAAGCACATTGTTCGGATCCCTATAAAATCTGATATGTTTTATAGTGCGAAAAAACCTGTCCGAATATGTTCCAAATGCCCCAGCTGAGTATACGTAGAAGGTTCGTATTCCAAAGACCGGATCCATCGTTTGTCAATGTGTAAGAAGAAGTACCGTTCGGTACGCCGTCGTTATTTGGATACCATGTGACCCGATCTTCTGCTGTGATTAACGAATAGGTCGAAATACAATATGCGAGAATGAATATGAGGAGAAAGTAAATAAAAAATGCAAGGTCTTTCATCTAGGTAAAGCGAAAATTCCGTTGATGATGACACTATAAGCTGATAATAAAATTTTCCAAAGCTACAACACAACTTACAGCCAGAAAGATCATAATCAGTTTGGGACCCAGTTGCTGATATGCACGAGAAAAGTGGAGCAGTCGTACACACCATAAACAAAAATCGCATGCCATGAAGATCCTGCCAGTTTGAAACAGAATAAAAGGGAGAAGTTCAAATCCTGAGGACTATCAATGTGGCAGGTATTACAGAGCATTAGGATAAATTGTTTCCTTGATCAAACAGTGGTACACTTTTTTCATCTTCAGTATAGTGAGAGAGACTGAGTACGCCAAAGAACAAATAAGACTCAACACTTGCAAAAAAAAATTCTTGGACGATTTACATTGTGCGCTCGAATTTAGTGCGTCAAAACAGGAACTTAAAAAGTTTACGCAAGTTCCGATTTGATTTGGCTGAACTTCCGGTACCTTTTGAAAAGGCTACGCGGAATAACATCCAAAAAATGCATTATCTTTGAAAGTCTATTTTAAAACTCTGCCGTAGAATTGGGCGTCACTATTCGACTAATGTTTAGTACCCAAAGAGACATTCGTCGCTTCTCAGACAAGGAGGTAGTTTTGGGATAAAACTCTATCGGACATAGTTTACGTCTAAAAATTCGTTTTTTAAGCATTTTCTTCCCGAAAAACGTTCACGATCATTGTTGTTTCTAAGACATAAATTTTTTTCCAATACTTTCCAATAAAAATTCCAAAACTTGCTAAAAATCGAGATTTATGAAAATCTGAACTTTCAGGCTGTTTTGACCTAATGCGTTTATTCTGATTCTTTGTACTTACTGTTCTTTTGACGTCACATGTATTATTCAGTGGGTATATTACGACAACAATTAATTTTCAACTAAATTCAATATGTTGAAATATCCAAAGGGTGTAATCAATCAAAAATGATTAAAAATAAGTAATGTGAACAGGGACGCACCGGTTGTAACCGATATGTCTGTTACGTTTTCCTATGGTCATGATTCTATGATAAGAAAGGAATTCGACATTTTGAATGTGCGTGTAGTCCGTGTTTCAGAGATTTTCATAAGATATGAAATGCAGTCTTGAAAATTTTCAGAAACTGGCTCCGGACTGTACCGTAATGCTTAAATTTTAATCTAAAGAAGAAATTTTCTTCAATGACGTATCAAGAATTTTTCAATCATCGAACCAACATTCATTAGTTCGAGAAAAAAGATTGATGATGCTGTAATTTTGGCAGAAAAGAAGAAAGAATCAAAAAAACTTATTCATCTTTCTTTGGGAAAATCACAAATTTTTGTTTAAAATTTATTGAGCCACAACGTCCTACCCATAGTTCCGCCATTGACTCTCTTCGTTGTAACGAGACTAAACATTCTATTCTACAAAGTGTAACTTTTAAAAATGCCTAATGCAAACTTACAGCCAAGGTTTTAGAGCGCATCGGACTGCGTAGGAAAATGTATTTTTTAACTTTTCAAAAAAGTCTCTTTCATGGTAAAAAATTTAAAAAACTTGAAGGACGTAAAAATCTGAAAAATG